CCCACGGGTGCCTGGTCCTTTGGCCTGAGCCCACCCAGTCATCGTCGCACCAGTGCAGAGCAGAAAAGGCCAAGGCCACGTCCCGAAGGGCAGGGGGGCCCCAGCCCCTCCACACTGAGCGCCAGCTGCCCTGAGCCACAGCGGCCCTAACACAAGCACGAGCCATGCTGTGACACGCGCTGAGCCTGCAGCTTTGTCCTCACCGGCTCCAGGGAGCTGATCACAGTCAGGGTGCCCACGCAGCCTAGTGCCCCCGCCACCACGGGTGCGGGGAGGTCAGAAGTCCAGGCCGGACCGCAAGGAAAGGTCTTTGATGGGGAAGCTACACAGCAGTGGCCGGCACAGTCACCACCGGGGGGGCTGGGAGCACCCACAGGGTGCTGGTGACCTTGTGTCTCACAATCTCCACGAAGGTATCCGTGGTGCCAGTGAAGGGAGTGGGTCCTGACGCCGGCGGCACAGCAGGCACCGTGTGGGCACCGGGGCAGGGGCTCCAAGACACCACCGCAGTACAGGAGGTACTTTGGCCCAGGAGAGGCTCCAGAGTCGGCAAGGGGGGCATCGGCTTGCTGGCCACCCAGGGCCGCAGAGACCGCAAGGGTCCCTTCACTACATCCGCGGGTGTCCTGAAGCGAGAGGTGACCACAACCCCCGTGCCTGAGGTCACCGTTCGTTGGAGGGGCTACCTCCCCTCGGGTCCTGGTCAGCCATCTTGTAGCTTCAATGCTGGCTCTAGGCGGGTGCTCATGCAGCGAGGTGCGCAAGGCAGCCCCTTGGCCAGTGCAGTGTCCACATGCCCTTTAATCTTGTTTAATACTCTCCGTATCTGAGATGCTTGTTATCCGTGAAAATGAGAATTTATCTGGGACTTGCAACCGTCAGAAAAAATCGCGGCAAATGGAGAGCTCTAACTTAACAAATTGACTGGTATTAATTACATGACATTTAGGAAAGCAGTGTTCAAATGGGAGAATTCCACGCCAGTGTGATTCTATTGAACCAGATTACAGCGACCAGCTTGCCTCACCTACTTCCAAAGATGTCCTAGAGATTCAGACACACCTGGGGATCTCTCCTTCTTTGCAAATCTTTTACCTTTCCCAGCACCTTTCAAATGGTCTTTCATTATACTTTCCAGAAAAAAAAAAAAAAAAAAATGAAGCTATCATTTGCTACTTACCACTACAAAACTGCTAAAATCTTACCGTCATAGCATATTTTACTTTTGTGCATATGTTGCTTTCTTCTCCTATAGAAAGATAATCTCTCTAGTGTGCATTAGACATGTCTCCTCCAAATATCAATGCCCTCTCAATCGCATCCTTTCCACCAATAGGCCCTTAACTTGCTAAAACATTGAATCGCATTTCCCCTTCACAGCCATACTTTAAAAAAACTCTTCTCATGTTTTTTCTTACTTCACTCACTTCTTAATCTACTACTCCTGAAGTAGTTCTCCCTAAAGTTAACAACCCTCTCTGTGTTGCTAAATCCAAAGGACTGATTTCAAAATTGGTCTGTTTTCCTCCCATAAGCTTTCACTATGCTGTGCTTTTCTGGTAGGTTTAGTCCTAATCATCTGGGAATTCTGTGTCAACCTCCTGTTGGTAGTTCGTTTTCCTCTAACTGGTAACTAAATATTAAAAGCAAAAGCTTGTTGCACCCAAACCCATAAGATACCTAGGAATAAACCTAACTACGGAGGTAAGAGATCTATACTCTGAAAACTGTGGAGCACTTATGAAAAGAAATTGAAGAGGACAGAAAGAAATGTAAAAACAAAAATCGGTTTAAGGCTCTCCTTAGTCCATGTTCTCTCCATAGTTAAACTTAGTCAAACCTTTGATTTCAGTCATCATCTGTATTTTAAAGACTTTCCAACTTTTTATATGCCTTTCTTCTGAACTGTAATAGATTTAACTCTTTTTTTTTTTAATTTTTTTTTCAACGTTTATTTATTTTTGGGACAGAGAGAGACAGCATGAACGGGGAGGGGCAGAGAGAGAGGGAGACACAGAATCGGAAACAGGCTCCAGGCTCTGAGCCATCAGCCCAGAGCCTGACGCGGGGCTCGAACTCATGGACCGCGAGATCGTGACCTGGCTGAAGTCGGACGCTTAACCGACTGCGCCACCCAGGCGCCCCAGAAAATTCTTCTTTCAACCTCCTCACTTCACTTATTCTTTAGTTCAAGCCCACTTCCTTATATAATTTTTTTTCCTGACCCCTGAATTTAGTCGGATTCACTTTTAATATTTTTTAATTAATCAAGGCATTTATTTATTTTTCCAATTTTATTGATGTACAATGGTCAAATAAAATTGCATGTATTTAAGGTGTATAATACGATGATTTGATATACATATACATTGTAAAATGATTACCATAATCAAACTAATAACACAGCCATCACCTCACATAGTTGACATTTTTTGTGTGTGGTTAAGAACATTTAATATCTATTCTCTTAGCAAATTTCAAGTACACAAGTATTATTGACTAAGTCATGATGCTGTTCATTAGATCTTCAGATCTTATGCATCTTATAACTGAAAGTTTGTACCTTTTGACCGACATCTGCCTACTTCCTCACCCCCCTACTTCCCAGCCCCTAGCAACTACCATTCTACTCTCTGCTTATGTGAGTTTGACTTTAGATTCCACATGTAAGTGAGAATGTACAGTACTTTGCCTTCTGTGTTTGGTTTATTTCATTTAGCATAATGTCCTCCAGGTTCATCCGTGTTGTTGCAAATAGCAGGATTTACTGTTTTTAATATGGCTGAATAATTTTCCATTATATGTGTATATACCATATTTTCTTTATCCATTCAGCTGCTGGACACTTGGGTTGTTTGCATGTTTTTGGCTATTGTGAATAATATTGGCTGCAATGAATGTGGAAGTGAATATATTTCTTCAAGATATTAATTATATATTTTTTGATATACACCAGAAGTGGGACTGATGGATATTATGGTTGTTCTATTTTTAATTTTTTTGAGAAAACCCTATATTTTTTTTCCATAATGGCTATATCAATCTATATTCCAAACTCAGTGTAAAAGAGTTTTCATTTCTCCACACCCTGACACTTATTATCTCTTGTCATTTTGATAATAGCCATCCTAACAAATGTGAGGCGATATCTCCCAGCTTTAATTTGCATTTCCCTGATGGTTAGTGATGCTGGGTATCTTTTCATATACCTACTGGTCATCTGTAAGTCTTTTTTGGAAAAATGTCTAATATTCTTTCTTAAAATCATGTTCCTTTTCTCCTACTTATCTTAGTTTGTAAGCATACTTTTCCTCATATCTGTGAAAATTTTCATTTCTGTGCCCCCCACACACATCCTCACTAGTGTTGTTTAATGCTTTATTGAAGTATAATTTATATACAAAATTGGACACATTTAATGTATATATCTTAATGACATTGGATATATACATACATCCTTAACACCATTACCATAATCAAGATAATTAATGTATCTGTCATCTTTCCTTGATTGTGTGTGTGTGTGTATTTTTTTGTTTTGTTTGTTGAAAAAAACACTTAGCATATCTATCGTCTTCATATATTTTAAAGTGCACAATACATTACTAGTAAATACAGATACTCCGCTGTACGGCAGATCGCTAGAACTTACAGTACATTAGACATCAATACCACAGGACTCAGGAGGAATTCTTTCCTTGGTATATACCCCAAAGATTTAAAAACTATTGTTCAAAAAAAAAAAAAAACTTGTACATGAGTGTCTGTCACAGCACTATTCGTAATAATTAAAAGGTGGAAATAGGGGCGCCTGGGTGGCTCAGTTGGTTAAGCATATGACTTCGGCTCAGGTCATGATCTCACTGTCCGTGAGATCCAGCCCTGCGTCGGGCTCTGTGCTGACTGCTCAGAGCCTGGAGCCTGTTTCAGATTCTGTGTCTCCCTCTCTCTCTGACCCTCCCCCATTCATGCTCTGTCTCTCTCTGTCTCAAAAATAAATAAACGTTAAAGAAAAATTTTTAAAAAAGGTGGAAAAAACCCACGTCCACCAACTGCTAAATGGATAAATAAAATGTGGTACATCCATGCAATGTGATGTTATTTCAGTCATTAAAATAAATGAAACACTGATAAATGTTGAAAATTGGATCAACAATGCAAGTATGCTGAGTGAAAAAAAGCCAGAATAGAAAAATTCATCGAGAAAACAAGCAGATTACTAGCAGGGGTTTGGGGGAGGATGGGATTGGGAGTAACTGCTTAATGGGAATGGGTTTCCTTGTCACATGATGAAGTATCCTGGGACTAGATAGTGGTGATAATTTCTCACCATTGTGAATGTATTAAATGACATGGAATTGCACACTTTAAGTGGTAAAACTGTTAGATTTTTACATATTTTAACACCATTTACATTTGGGTTAATGTAGGGGAAAAAAACAACATTAATTCTGTATTCAGTTTTATCTGACTTTTAATCGCAGATTGATTATATAACCATGGGTCCATGAGAAGGCTACTTTTATTTTGGAATCATTAATTAATTGACAGTATCATGGAGGGTTATTCACTTAGCAGATATTTATTGAATCAGAGGCTGTGCTCTATGAATCTATGGTAAAAAGGGGACAAAATCAACATTGACTTTTCATTCTTGTGGATCTTACTGTCCAACAGAGGAGATAATGAGTCAAGTTACTACAGATATAGAAATAATAATCTAGTAAATATTTGTTATTGTTTGAATGAGACATATTGAAAATATCCAGTGAAAAATGAATACAAAATTATTATTATTGTTATTAAACTTTTAATTTTCATACTAAAACCTATTCTATTCCACAGAGTGGATATGTCATTACAGCCATCTTGAAAATATGTAGAGTAAGTCACAAGGAATTGACACCCTGATATTTGTGGCTAATTTAGTGGAAGCCATCAACATCTCTGAGATTTTTAATATATATTTATGCAGGTGTGAAAGCACATTCCTACATGTACTGTGCACACACAAACACAAACAGAATAATATTGCTGAAAATATTCAGAATTCCTTTTTGTCACATCTGAAAATACATGTACATGTTTTCAATCAACTCATTTTTCCTGTGTTGATTTTCTATATTCAATTTAAGGGGGTCTAGTAAAGCCATAATGACCTTTATGAACTTTATAATAATCTGAAATCTTTATATTCTTTTCATACATAATATGAAATCCCATGTTTTGGTGGATACTCTGAAACCACAATTCCATGTACAGTATTTGGATTAAATATCTTGCTGGTATCTGGCTACTTCAGATTATAACCATGTAGAGAGCCTTGTTGATAAGCATTTTATGTTGGAATCACAAGGAGAAACAAATTAAACTAATCTTAGATTTTAGCAAACTATTACATAATAGACACAATGTAAAAGCAGTACACATTTGAATTCTAAAATGAGAATGATAAATTTTTGGCAAATGGCAGAGCTTCACAAGCCCCAACATTATTCCTACTATTGTACCTTTTTTTTTTTTAGCATAGTACAATATACTTGTACTGCTGGCAAAACAGGAGCTCCTGAATCATTCCAATCAGCTAACTGTAAATTCTGACAATGAAAGAATCACCAATCCCTTTTCTTTTGTGCTATGCTGGCATAATTTAAGTATTTGAGCAGTCATTTGTTAAGTGATCTAGCTCCATGGATTTAGGCTTTCCAAGACACTACTGACATCTGTTAATGTGCTCACTTGAGTAATGTTTTCCTTTGCACAGACATATATTTAGCCTTTAGTGTTTTCAGATGGTTCCCATATAAAGTCAAGATTTTGCAACAAATATTATTACTATCAATAGAGAAAATCAGTTCTTTCTTCTGTTAATCTTTAAAAATTTAAAAAATCACAATTTATAATTTGTGCCAAACCATGATTATGTGAGATCTCAGGACATCAATGGTGATAAATTATAAATATATAATGTTGAACATTTTTCTCAGAGCTGTCGATGTTTTTTCTCTAACTTGTACTCTTAATTTTGGAGCATAGAAACTCCTTTTAATTTTGGGAAATACTCCTCTCTCATTTAAAAAATACAATTCTATAGACATGGAAAATCTTGCACAGTTGATTGATAGCATTTCTAAGCACTTTACTTAGATCCATTTATCTCATGACATTTGTTTTGGATAGGCACTATTATTATCCACACTTTACTACTGGGAATTATAAGGCCCAGAAAAATTAAATAACTTTCCAAAGTCACATGGTTAATAAGTAACAGAGATGGGATTTGAATAGAAGAATTTGTTTCCTGAGTTCAGTCTCTTTCTGTGTTTCAAGCCAACCTAGTTGTTTTGTCTGTTTGGAGAGCTCAAATTACCATAGACTGGGTGACTTAAGCAAAAAACTTACTTCTTCCAGTTCTGGAAACTGTGGTGCCAGCAGTCAAGATGCCAGCAGATTTGTTTTTGGTGAGAATTCTCTTCCTGGTTTGCCATCTTCTTGTATCCTCACATGATGGACACATGGAGAAAAAGCAAGCTGTCTCCTGTATCCAATAAGGGCACTAATCAATCCTATCATGTGATATCCACCTTCATGACCTAATTATCTCCCAAAGGACCCATATCCAAATACATCACACCAGGAATGCTGTTTTAACATATGAATTTTGGGGAGATATAAATATGAAGTCCATAACACTAGTCAAAGGTCTTCCTCGAATTTTTCACATGAGAGCTCAACTTGGGAAGGTCTGAGTGTAGCATCTGCCAGGAGGCCGTACTTCCCACCTGTGGAGAAAGGCAGCCTGAGAAAATGAAGCCAATGTGAAAAAAAAGAAGGCATGTTGAGAGAAAGGGTACTGGTAACATTAAATATTTGTTCTGGTTGCTCTGGAGACCACTAGCATGCTAGCATTTTCTGATCTTTGGTTGGTCAGTAAGTTTCCCTTCTGGCAATCAAACTAGGCTTTCGAATACATTAATCTAACACAATATTTTAATAGTAGCAGGAAGGCTTTCTGGCCACTAAAAAAATGCAAAGGTGTTTGGCTCTAAGCTTAGAGAGGCAACAGGAATAGGGGGCAGACGTTGCAGGGCTTTGTAGACCATTGTACAGACTTTCACTTATATTCACAGTGAAATTGGAAGCCAATTCAAGGTTTTGAGGAGAGATGTTGTATGATCGATGTTTTGGAAGACTTTTTGAGTGCTAAGTTATGTAACAGAATAAAGGACGAAGAAGGGAGACCAACTTGGAGGCCCTTGCAATCAGCCAGGTGAGAGGTATTGTCCATGGACTAGAGTGGTTACAGTGGAGAGAATGAAATGTAAGGTGGAACCAGGGGGAATTCTGCATGGCTTAGAAGTAAGAGTGTAAGAGAAACTGACAATCTAAGATGACTCCCAAGGATTTTAGTTTGAGTAACCAAAATTTTGGAGTCACCATTAAGTGAAATGGAGAAGATTGTATGAGATGTTTTTAGGGGGAAGATCAGGATTTTAAGAATAAATGAGCAGAAGGAGTGGCCAATAGTATCAAACATTCTACAGTTAATCTGTAAAATAAAGGCTGAAAAAATACCAGATAGATTGGATTATTAACTGGTGAACTTGTGAGAGCTGATGTGCTACACTGGTACGTAAGATACCAGATTGTAAAATCAGAAATGGCAAATGATAGGTAAGGATGTGGAAATAGTGTTGAAAGTCATCATTTTCAAGAAATACAGTTCTAAAGAAATGGAGATAAAATTCTAGGTAGAGAAGGACAGACGATTGCGGAGGATACTCAAGTATAATTTTATAGAAATGGAAAAATAATTTCTTACATATTTCAAAAATACATTTCATTACACCACATTTACATTTCTTATATGTGTGCGATGCATGTGGTTATAATTCAACTGAGAAATGTAAAATATTTCCCTGCTTTTCAGAATATTTATCTCAGGATGAGTTAAATCAGGAGCAATTTTCAGTGAACATGACTTTTTCACCTTAACAAATTATAACGGAAGTATACTTTCTTGGGCACTCTCCAATATGATTAAACTAATGAAATGTAATATCTGTGAGAACATCTACTTTCCTCTACCTATTACTTTGTGTTTCCTGAAACTTTGGCACTCCTCAGAAATGTTTGCAATCAGCTGGTGACAGAATGTGCTTTTAAAAATTAATAACAGTCTATTAGTGACATAGTTCTTGGTCATAGTTATATGTTGTATTACCTCACTTTCACTCAGGTGATCATTTTTTCCCAAGTGATGTTAGAATAATTCATGCTAACTCTTTCCTAAAGTTCTTTGGGGTGAATGTGACATTTTAAAGCTCACTACTGTTATTTTTAAAGCAGGAACATAAAAATTGTTAGTTTCTCCTGTGCTGTGGAGATTGATGGCTGAACAAAAACAGCTGTTTTCTCCTTCTTCCAGAGTGAAAGAACTCTCAGTTTTTCAATGGGCACATAACTGTTCAAAGTAAATCTTTTATTTCCCAAACCTCTTTGTTCCAAGTGATTGACATGCGACTAATTTGGGACCAAAGGCATGAATAGAAATACAGGCATACCTTGTTTTATTGAGCTTTGCGGTTATTGTGGAGTTGTTGTTGTTGTTGTTGTTGTTGTTGTTGTTGTTTTACAAACAACAACACAATGTTGGCCAGGTGTATTGGCCCCATTTTTCCAACAGCATCTGCTCACTTTGGGTGTCTGTATCACAATTTGGTAATTCGCACAATATTTCAGACTTTTTCTTTATTATTATATCTGTTAGGGTGACCTGTGGTCAGTGATCTTTGATATTACTATTGTAATTGTTTTGGGGTGCCAAGAACCACACCCATTTAGGACAGCAGACTTAACTGATAAATGTATGCATCCTGACTGCTACACCAACCAGCCATTCCACCATCTCTCCTTCTCTTCTCAGGTCTCCCTATTCCCTGAGACCCAACAACATTGAAATTAGTTAATGACCCTACAATGGTTTCTAAGAATCACACATCTTTCACTTTAAATCAAAAACTAGAAATGATTAAGCTTAGTGAAGAAGGCATGTCAAAAGCCATTTGCAGCAGAAAGCTAGAGAGCCCTTACACCGAAAAGTTAGCTGAGTTGTGAATGAAAAGGAAGAGTACTTGAAGGAATTTAAAAGTGCTACCCCAGTGAACAGAGGTCGGTTCATTAAGTTTAAGGAAAGAAGCCGCTTCCATAACGTGAAAGTGCAGGGTGAAGCAGCAAGTGCTGATGTAGAAGCTGCAGCGAGTTACCCAGAAGATCTAGCTGAGATAATTAATGAAGGTGGCGACACCAAACAGACTTTCAATATAGACAAAACAGCTTTCTGTTGGAAGAAGACACCATCTAGAACTTTCCTAGCTGGAAAGGAGAAGTCAATGCCTGGCTTCAAAGCTTCAAAGGATAAGCTGATTCCTGGTAGGGGCTAACGCAGCTGATGACTTTAAATTAAAGCCAGTGCTCATTTACCATGTTGGAAATCTAAGGGCTCTTAAGAACTATGTGAAATCTACTCTGCCTGTGCTGTAGAAATGGAACAACAAACACTAATGACAGCACTCAATTTGCAACATGGCTTACTAAGTATTAGAAGCCCACCATTGAGAACTACTGCTCAGAAAAAAGATTCCTCCCAAAACATTACCAGTCATGTACAATGCATCTGGTCCCCCAAGAACTCTGAGGCAGATGTGCAGTGAGATTAATGTTGTTTTCATGCCTGCTAACAATATCCATTCTGCGGCCGAAGAATCAAAGAGTAATTTCAACTTTTAAGTCTTATTATTTAAGAAATATATTTCATAAGACTGTAAGTGCCATAGATAGTGATTCCTTTGATAGATTTGGGCAAAGTACATTGAAAACATTCAGGAAAGGATTCACCATTCTAGGTGCCATTAAAAACATTTGTGATTCATGTGGGAAGAGGCCAAAATATCAACGTGATATTTTGATTTTCCAAAATTTAGAAAATGTTGATTCCAATCCTCATGGATGACTTCAGGGGGTTTAAGACTTCAATGGAGGAATAAACTGCAGATGTGGTAGAAAGAGCAAGAGAAGGTGAATTTCAAGTGGAGCCTGAAGATGGAACTGAGTTGCTGCAATCTTGTGGAAAAAAAATCTCATGTTGCTTTTATGGTTGAGCAAAGAAAGTGGTTTCGAAGGTGGGATCTACTCCTGGTGAAGGTTCTGTGAAGACGGTTGAAATGACAACAAAGGATATAGAATATTACATAAACTTGGTTAATGAAGCAGCAGCAGAGTTTGAGATGATTGACTCCAATTTTAAAAGAGGTTTTACTGTGTGTAAAATGCTATAAGACAGCATCTCATGCTACAGAGAAGTCTTTTGTGAAAGGAAATGTCAATCCGTGTGGCAAACTTCCTTGCGGTCTTATTTTAAGAAATTGCCACAGCCTCTCCAGCCTTCACCAACCACCACCAATTCAGTCAGTAGCCATCCACATCGAGGCAAGACCCTCCTCCAGCAAAAAGATTATGTACAACTTGGTGAAAACTCAGATGGTGTTTACCATTTTTTAAGGAATAAAGTGTTTATAATTAAGTAATGTATGTTGGTTTTTAGACGTAAGGCTATTTCACACTTAATAGACTAGAGTATAATGTAAATATAACTTTTATATGGATTGGGGAACCGAAAAAACTCATTTGGCTCCCTTTGTTGTGATATTTGCTTTATTGCAGTCGTCTGGAGCTAAACCCACAATATCTCTAAGGTATGGTTGTAGTCTTGTGGCAGTTTCTTAGAACTTTCTTTAAATCACATTTGGCTCATATCCTATTTCCTTCTCTTTATTTCTTCCTCAGTCTTAGTGCATAAAATAGGATATTATTATTGCAATTTTATCCATTATCATGTGCCCGAGGACAAGTCCCTACCTTAGGAATGGAAAATAATCACCTAGAATGAGCTGCATCCCTTATGACTCTGGGGAGCAGAGCTAATATGGCACCTCTGAACTTTTTGCCTCTAACTTTTTGCAGGAGATAGAAATAAAGTTTTCATTTATTTAAGCCATTGTTTGTGGTCTATGTAATTTATGACTGAGTCTTAAATGATGTACCGTGAGTTTCATTATGAAATTTTATAACACTGAAGTGTAAACTAATAAGACTTTTAAGTACAGGAATTCATAATTACTATACTATTTCTATCATCTACTTAATAGCCATATTTTAACACTCTCTTAAAGTTTTTAAGTATTATATGTGCTGAGAAAAACGTGCAATCATTAAGAGAATTTAGTTGTGGTAATCTGCACCCCCAGATAAAGAAATAGAAGATAAACAGTGCACCGAAAGATCTCATATAATCCCTAGGATTTCACCATTTGAAGATAAATACTATATTGACATTCAACGATGTCTGTTGGTTTTGCCACTTTTGAAATGCACATATTTAGACTCATTCTGTATATAGTCTTCCTTTTTGCAGAAAGGTCTGGTCTCC